ATATATATATATATATATATACATATATATGTATATATACATATGCGCACATATGTATGCACATATATTCACGTGTGTGTACATATATATATACATATATATATACTAATCTAAGTACTATTACATTGTCACATCGCTTACTGCCAAGTGATACAAAGATCAGCGATGTTGACGATTGGGATTGTGATGGCTTGTGTTAATTAGACACAAGAGCCAGCGATTTTATTATGCTATGATTCGGATTTTTGTGTGTATGTGCGAGAACGCGTGTACGGGATTGATAGTTGAAGGGGAACAGCTTGCATACGGAAAAGATGAGAACAATAGGAAAAGTGAAAAAGAAGAGAAAACATATGGTGGCGGGACGGGAATGGAAGAAAGAATGAAGAAACAAAAGCGAAAATGGGAAGGATATGAGAAGGGGTGAGAGAGGAGGTTAGCATGAAAGGATATGAGAATGAGCGAACTGGTTATGAATGAAATATTAAAAATCTATCGATGTAGCGATCAATTTAAGTAGTTTTTTCTTTCCTTCTGCAAGACGAAGAAAGAGAAAATTATACATAACATGTTTTACAAGAGTGTATGAGTTTATATATGGTGTGCGCGTGGGTATGATGCATGATATTGCGCGCGAATGTATGTATGTGTGTGTGTGTGTGTGTGTGTGTGCGCGCGCGCGCGTGCGTATGGTTGAATTATGTGTGCACGTGTATATACATACGTGCATACGTGTGCATGTGTGTTGCGTGGAGCGCGCCAAGCGCCGCTAGACCTTCTATTGTTGGTCTATAATGTGTACAGTCAGTGAAACTATTATTATTATTATTAAGGGTCAGGCAGGTTTTACAAGGATAGAAAAGTGAAATGTTAGAAATCAACGGTTCTGCGTGAAAATATTTCTCATTTGTTCTAGATCGTTATGATCAGAGGTAAAGAATCAGTATGAGTATGGAAAGGGTTAAATCAAAATGATAAGAATGAACGAATGGGGAAATCTATTACAAGCAACAAAATTGGTTAGTAAAGAAATTTGTTTGTATAGAAAAAAATTTATAATGAGAGCGTCTAAATTAGAATTTATGAATCTATAACATATTTATCCTTTAGGATTTTGTTCTCTCTCTCTCT